TAGGAAAATATATTTTTCAGTTAAAATAACATCTTTTATTAGAATAAATTTAAATCTGTAGTCAATGTACTTTGGCATGTGTTACAAATAAATGTATTTATAATACTAGCAACTAAAAGAGCCAAACGATGTAACTTAGATAATGGGACTCTTGCAGGATTTACAGCTGATCATCTGTGTTCCATAAGTTCCACCTTTCACATTTAACTTCGTCTTTATCCCAAGTATTAACATGACCCATAAGACTGTTGAGTAAGACAAGGTTCGTAGATGACTGTAGAATGTGGAAGCTACCTGCAACACTGCTAGAGCATACCACCTTTGTGCCACATGAATTAAAATAATCATGACTAAGTTTCAGCTTATTTAAACTGGCTGTCGGTGTCAGGAAGAGTATATTCCATTTCATTCGTGAAATTAAAGTCTTTATAGTTTCATGCCAGAAAAAGTTTGTCTTTATTATGAACTGATAAGTTTCATTTTGTCAGGTAAAACTATTATTGACTATTTTACTTTGGCTGCCAGGAATTTTAGAGCTAGCTTGTAATGATTATGCAGCTAAAGTTTTATATAATTATCTTCACTTTCTACCTTTCTTACGCTCTCTTATTAGTCTTTAATTTTTGTTTTAGCAGTTCTATTGCGTTTTTTTAATATTCTTCTTTTTGAAAGCTGGTGATAGATAAATACAATAAACTCAACTAACGCTTATTGAGTACCTACTTCTTGCTGTTAAATTAACTCCGTTATACTGGTAACAGTGAAAAAGGTAGGCTCTGGCTTCAAGAAGATGGGAAAAAATAACTTTTTCAGAAATTTCTAGAAAATGTATTGTTCAAAGAACATAAAATATATATTTTGCTAGGCATATAAAGTGCTCATGTTTATTATTTTATTGCTAGTTAAATTTGTTAGGATAGATTTGCTGTTACTGAGTCCTATATGATTTCTAGAGTTATTTCGTTTTATTCAAATTTAAAATTCAGGACTGGAAGCTGGGTCTCATAATCTCCTGAGATAGCAATGCATTTACAGTCCGGACTTTTCCATTCTTAGATGTTTACAGAGAGTTGTGAAGCTGGTCTTCTGTGAGAACTCACTGCCCTCAGGCCTTTCAACTTCACTCCAAGGAAGAGATGGTACATGTGAGATGAGCAGAGCAGAGATTGTCTAGGGAATCTTTGAAGAAGATGATAGTTTGTCTGATAAGTATTATAAAATGATCTTGAAAAGAAAAGGCATCCTTACTTTGAGTCTGAAAATGAAAAAAAAGAAAGCCTTTTTCTGTTGTTCATATTGTTCTTCCATGAAGAAGACTCTCTTATGCTTTATGTAACGTTCGAATGAATACCCTCGAATGAATACCCAGTCCCTTGAAAATTCATACTACGTAACAGCTTAGAAGATTGTAAAATCAGGTGTAGAGCATTACATGAATGATTGACCAGTAGCATCATTTATAAAAACACTGGAATTCACACATTTTAAAATGTAAATTAAATGTATCTTTTCACCTCTCCATGACCTAACTTTTAAAAACTAGGTCTATTCTGACCTAGATATGCCATTTCCTGCCCATATGAAAGAAAATATAATTATTGCCTGAATTTTTCTGGAACTGGTTACCTTTTAAGTGAATGTCATTGCCTTCATTCCTTACTTTCTCATTCTATTTGCCTTTTGCTTATTTTACGGCTTATTAGCACCTTTATGCAATAGGCGGAATAACTCCCTCACCCCAAAATGTACATGTCGTAATCCTCACAACCTATGAATATGTTACATTACTGACAAAGAGAAATTAAAGTTGCAGATTGGATTAAATCTGCTAATCAATTTACCTTAAAATAGGGAGATTTTGCTGGTTATCTGAGTTGGCCCAATGTGATCACAAAGACCCTTAAAATTAGAAGAGGGAGGCAGAAGAGGACTGCAGGATGAAGTGACATGAGAGGAATCTGACCCACCTTTGCTGGCTTTGAAGATTGAGGAAGGGAGCCCAAGAGCCATTGAAAGTGGGAGACTTCCAAAACATGGAAAAGGCAAGGAAACCTATATCCCAGAGCCACCAGAAAGGAACACCCTGCTGATACCTTTGATTGTTGACATTCGGTGAAACCCATTCAGATTTCTGACCTACAGAACTGTTAGATCATAACTTCGTGTTGATTTAAGGCACTAAACTTATGGTGAATTGTTACAGCAGCAATAAAAACTAACATATTTAGCAATGTTCAAGAAAAGAAAATAAAGATGACACTCAGGGTACTCCATCCAAGTAAAGATTCAGTGTGGGTGGAAGTTACAACTCTTGCTGACAGAGAGATGTAAGGCCATTAAATTTCAGCCCCTGCTTTCACCGTTTCCCATTAATACAGAAAATCTATAAGTGCCTATTGTCAGTGTAATGATCTGAAATAAAGTGCTTCAAAACAATATACCTTTGTTTCAGTCTGTTTCCAGTCTGCCCATGTGGGTATCTGTGCAGTGATCTTTTCATAGAACAGATTTAATTGCGTTATTTCTCTTTAAAGTCCATTTTATGGTCTCTGCTGCCTACAGATAAAAGCCCAAATATGTAGCATAGCAGTCAAGGCCCCTGTACAACAGAATCTATGTCACACTTCTTTTTTCTGCACCTTATGTTCAGCCAAGTAAGGTTCTCAAGTTCTGTGAGCCCAGCATAGTGTTTTGCACTTTTCTCCTTTGTACATGTCATTTCCTTTACTACCAGTGTCCTGCCAGATCATCATACTTACTGGCTGGCAAACACCTATGAATTCATCAAGGCTCATCTCAATCATTAATTCCCTGCAGAAACCTCCCATATCAAATTAAATTGTTTTGTCTGTCCTTTATGCCACATTTTGACTTGTATACCTTGTGATATTAAATTACTTTCATTTCGTTCTCTTATACTAAACTGTGAGCTGCTTGAGGGCAACAGCTAGGTCTAGTAACATGTCTCTGAGATATTAGTATTTCACACAGTTTATCCAGTAAGTACTCAATAAATAAACATTAAGTGAATGAATGATTATGTTACCTGACCTGGCCAGCACCCCATAGAGATGCCATTAAAGTGTAGGTATCTGACTCCCAAGCTAGTTTTCGGTTACACTCAGCCTCTTAAACTTAAGTATCTTACAAGAAAGTTTCTTATACAACTCAGGGACATTTTACATTTTGAATAAAATTTTGACACTGATCAATTTTTTTTTGATACCACTTCTGTTTCTATTCCTTAATGATTTTGTGATATTGTATAGAAAATAAAAACATTTTTAAAAAATGAAAACAAATAATCTGTTTCATCTAGTTTTTTATTGCTCTATTTGGAAGAATTATTTTGCGTAATGTATATGTTTTTATCCTTAAACATTGAAAAAACTCCATAATTTAATAGAGTAGCATGGCAAGTATCAAATTTGGGGGCTTTAAATATTTAAATTTTCTGTAACGATTTCTATTTTTTTGCCTTTCTAGATTTGATATTTATGTCAGTTTCTCTGTGATTACCTATAGATTTGATTTTGATTCACAGGTCTTCATAAAAATGAGATACTGTATACAGTAGAACTTGGAAACTGTAAAGCACTATTCAGAGAGAATGAATTGTTTTTATAATTTTTATTGTTCCTTTGCACTTTAATGTTCATGAAATCTTGTTGCTGGGAGTAGTTCCACTGAGAATTTCTCTTTTATGATAGCTGTCAGAGTTCAAAGTCTTAAAATGGTTGGTATAATTTTTAGTGTAATCAGTAAAACACATCCTTCATGCTACATAGTAATTTATAAATTTAGTTTACTACTTTAAAAAATAAAAAGTTTTTATTAAGATGAATTAATCCATGTTGGTGTTAATATTTTATAGACAATCATCAATAATTTAGAAAATAGTAGAAGCCATTGATGGATCAATGAGACTTAAATGTATATAAAACAAATTTTATTTTTGAAATAGTATGAAAGTGTTGATAAATATCCAGAAACTGTAGATTATAACTATGGAAGTCTGAAGCTTGATAGAATGCATTGTTTGAATGCCCACTGTTGGATCTAGGTGAAGCTAACTTGTTTTAAAATGGCTCAAAAAAGCTAGGCAGAGCCATGGTTCAGCATGTGTATTCACGATGCAAATTCTATCACAATTCATAGGTGATTCAGTAGGAGTATTCTGCTTCTTTTGTTTTAAGGGTAGCTTTAAAGTAATCTTCTTATATAACCTCTGATATTTTCAACAGAAAAGAAATGATCTGTGAGAAACCTGTCATCTTTAAATGTATCAAATGTACTTCCTATTGTGCATCAACAAATTAGCTTTGTGGTTTTTTAAGAGCCAGTCTCCAGTGAATTCATTTAGAAAAATAAATGTGTCTACAGAACCTAATCATTCAGATTGTGCTAGAGACTTACCTCACCAAAGAATACAATTTTCTAGGAACCACAAAACCATTTTAATGTCCATCATGTCAGTTTCTCATCTCCTTACAGGATGCCAGATAAATTGACAACATTCTTACTCCTTATGTCTTCTTTGAAGAGATTCCTTACTTGCACCACATTTCTGCCATTATTCTTCACTCTCATTACATGCAATAAGTCTCTCTATTCTTTTAAATACATAACTGCACAGTGCACGATGACTCCTCATTCATTTCATGGGCTAGGAGCTTATCCTTGATAGTTTTAGTGAAACTACCAGCTGTCCTTGTCTCTAGTTGTAGGGTACATTTCACTTTTGAAAACTTCAGCCCTCTATCCACTTGCTTGAGTGTCTTTTCTTGATTATACAAAGTTCATAATAAATTTATCTGAACACGGTCTCTCTATTGTGACCCTTTCAACAGTTTGCACTAATTCCCATGTTAACTTGATGTTATTATGCAGCTATTTACGGGTTTTTCTTTTGTTTTTGAGGTCAGCTGGATATTTTTCGCTATGAATAAGTGTTTCTTTGAATAACTATCAGCAACAGTTGTTTTATTCTTGCCTCACAGGTACTACAGTGCAACCATTCTGCAGATGTCTGGTGTTGAAGATGATAGACTCGCAATATGGCTGGCTTCAGTTACAGCCTTCACGAATTTCATTTTCACACTCGTGGGAGTCTGGCTTGTTGAGAAAGTGGGCCGCAGAAAACTTACCTTCGGTAGTTTAGCAGGTAGGTGCCCAGATGAGGAACTCAGTTATGAAATTTTCTCTAACGATGTTAACCTTCCAAAATACCATACCAATACCACTTCTGATATTGTGGTTTTAGACAAACAATAGAGTTCCTCTAGACAAAAAGTTTTTCCAAAAAGAACTTAGTGAATATTATGATATGTAACTAGAAACTAGGCTGTGACTAATCACTAGAATTGTAGAACAATTTGAATATACTAAGGGTAACATTTTGCTTTTGTTATTTCAAGTTCTGCTCAAAAGTACAAAAGTGACAAGAATAATCGCTTTTTGTTCTTTTTTGGTTGAAAAACTTGGTATTCATAAACTCATTTTTTAACATATGTTTTATTTTTAAGATTGGAATAATATGGAAGTAAATTTGGAACATTTTATTTCAAAGCTCTTTCAAAAGTGGAATACTAGAACCATATAATTTCTTCACAAAGCAGGGACAGACTCTTTGTGTTTGAACCAGGCCTAAATTCTAGAGTAAATTCTGGTTCGTTAAGTTTGTTTTCTCTGATAGCTAAATAAGACAAAACCTTTCTCTCTTTCAGGTATCTTTTGTCTTTAAATTCTTCGCATTTCATTTATTATTTCTCTGTAACACAAGGGCTGTTGCACTTGACAGAATAAGACTATTCTTTTCCATTGTCTTCATATGGTTGTGTAATATAATTTTCTAATCTTTTTTATATATATAAGCAGATTCCTACTTATCAATTAGCAGTGCTCTAATAGCTCTTTTGTAAGTTTATTTAGAGTAAGAATACATTTTTTCCATTAAAAATGTTAAGTTTCCATGCCAGCATTAACTACATTCTATTTTAACCAAATTATACTTAAAATATTAATCTGGTAGAACTACTTCAGGTACTTGTCGCAGAATTGATGAGAAAATATATTCAAAGTTTCATACTCAGTTATTAAGAACACATACTCTCTCCCATACCTAACTCCAGAAGGAAGACTCTGTTCTTGCCTTAGTGGAAGCTCTTGAGTCCAATAATGTAGATTTAACTGCAGTGAGGGGAAGGTGAGAGGAAGATTGTCTGGCTAAGAGACAAAGGAATCACAACAGCCATGTTATCCAGGAAAGTGGGAGGGAAAGTGAGGAAAGGTGAGAGACAAAGTGATGGTTTAAAAACTATACATTTATAAACCTGTTAAACCAGAAGTGTTTGACCTAGAAATAAGTCTAAAGGGAGATTTAATATGTACCTTATTTTAGCAGATAATAGATGTTATGAAGACATAGATTTTTACTTAATGTTAGAAAAATATTCCTAATAATCAGAGTTATCCAACCATGAATCGGATGGTAAACTCAAAAAAAAAAAAAAACAAACCAAGATATGTGATCAACAGGTAGTGATGTGCTAAAAACAAATTTCTGTAGTTAGTTGGAAATTGGTTTGCTAACCCCTGAGATTAAAGTCAACTCTAAAAAGAGGTAAATTCACGTTAAATTTTTTAAAATGGATACCCTTCCTTTTTGACAGGGCCTCATGGTATTATTATATTACAAGGTCTGTTTTTAAATAGAATTTCAGATTTTCTTAAATTTGGGATTTGATTTTTGAGATCCTAGGAAACTGCTGATTTTGAGATCCAGAGAATACAGTTTTTCTAGTAGCCTCTGTTTCTTCATTTGTTTCATTCCAATGAGACACTTTCTCATCAGTTCTGCAGGATTTTGAGGCATTATAGAGCCAGATTGTTTGGGTTCAATTGAGTGACTTTGAGAAAGTTTCTATTTCGCCATCTGTAAACAGAGATTAACTATAGTCCCTACTTCATAGGGTTGTAATGAGGACGAAACACATTTATACAAGTATAGAATTTAAAACACTGTCTGACACCGATAGTAAAGTGCCTAGAGCATTTTAGCTATCACAGCATTATTACTGCCAAAGAGTGATTCTTTGTTGTTTTAACTACAAGGTGAAATCAGTTTGCATCAGGAACTTTCCTGAACTCTTCTAGCTGATGTTATGTTTCAACTCACAGTGTAGGTCCTCTACCCAAAGGATTTCCAAGCTCATCTCTGACTATTAAGAGGAAGTATTAAGAGTTATTTGAGGGATAAGACCAAGGGATTGCAGTAACTGCTTTTTATGAGTAACCTGTAGGTACTTTTCTTTCCTGCCATGTTCTCTTTTCATCCAAAATAACCAATACACACAAGCTCCATCCACTACTGTACCACACACTGACACCTCCAACCTGAGAGAGATCTTCCATCAAGTAGGCACCTGATAGCCTTGTGATATGGCCAGTTAAAATGATGTAATTTTACAGTGGTTTAGGAGGTAAAAGGCCTTGTTTTTTGTCACAGGTATCTTCTTTACTTGTACATTAGATGTAAATAGTGTTATTTATGCAGTTCTGGTCTTTAACTGTGATTAAAGAGGTCCCACCAGAACATAACGACCAATGGAAGTTTACACCTTCAGAAGAAAACTTACTGCTAAACAGCCATTAGTATACAGTCATCCATCAGTGTCCATGGGGGATTTGTTCCAGGAACCCCAGCTGATACCCAGTGCCACAGATGATCGAGTCCTTTATATAAAATGGTGTAGTATTTGCATATAAACTCTGCACATCTTACCTTATACTTTAAATCATCTCTAGGTTACTTATGATACCTAATACAATGTAAACACTATATAAATAGTGTTATACTCTATTGTTTAGGGACTAATGACAAGAAAAAAAAAAGTCTGCCCATGTTCATTCAGTACAGACACAACCATGGAAGGCCTAACTACAGTAGTACATGTCAGCAACAATGTAATTTTCTTTTTGACTATGTTCAATCTCCGATTGGTTGAATCCATCCATGAATGTGGACCCAAGGGTGCAAAGGGTTAATTGTGTTAGTATTACTCCAGCGTGACCCATCCAATAGATGTTTGTTTCACTTTCTGATAACCAGTTGACGCTGGGATACTTATATTTTTATTTCAATGTGTTTTTTTATTCATTTGTATGTAGGGATATATTTGATATTCTAATAGAGCTTAGTATTAAAACACTGTTCTATTTAAATTCTTAGAGTTTTTAAACCTGTGACTCAATTTTTTCCCTATTTTGTTTTTATTATGATTTATTTTATTATATTGGGTTAAAAATAGTGACAAAACTTATATCAAAATAACTTTTGAATAGGTATCCATTCTTTAATAATTACTACAAATAAACTATATTTAACCAGACCTGGACAAAGAAACTTTTCATATAAATAAATATAAAACATATAGTCCATGAATAATTTTAAATGTGGGACATTTTGTGGTGTTCTGACTTTTAATATTTTCAAAGCTTGCTCAGAGAACAGGTCTTCCTTGTAAATATTACAGATTTAATAACAACCTCTTGATTCTTTTAATAGAAGAAAGTTTATATCTTTGTAACTTTATTGCTTATAAATAAGAAAGCTAGACATACTGTGTTATTTTCCCCCCAGAAATTTCGGTAGTGGAATATTTCTGAAAACATCACTCACAGGCTGTCTCCATCAGAATTATTAGGGGTACTTATTTTTAAATGTGGATTCTTGTGCCCTACCCAGATCCACTCAATTAAAATCTCTGAAGATGGGGTCTGGAGCATATGCACTTTAAACGGGTTCCCCAGGTGACACTTATGCATACAACGTGTGCTCTATTAGAGTTGTGGGAAGGGAAATTATTTTCTCTAAGAATTTACTAATAATCTAAGCCCTGCACCAGGTAGTTAATGTAACTTATTACATCAGCTATTTTCAAGAAAGCTATTTATCCAACACACTTCACTTCCTGGGGAGAACATTGTTTGGTAAATAGTGACTTAAAGAGATCAGGAGGATTAATAGGTTGATGATCATAAATTGCTGTGCAATGAGCTGTACTATAGCAATAAATACTTTTATTTAAATTTTAAAAGTGGAAGTCAGGAAACATTTCATTATGTAAATCATTAAAAACTCAGTCATTCCTTTCCGCTATCAGTAGTTCATAAAACTTTTTTTTTCATATTCTCTAGCTGACTTTCTGCCTTTAGTTGACCTGGCAGTATATTAAGTCTTACTCTGAATCTAAGTCCCTACATCTAAATCAGCCATCAGATGTGGAGAATATGCTATGTTGATCAAACGACAGCATTTTAAAAATAATCCGGAGATACCTGTGTTAAAAACATTTTACTTAAAATATCCTTAAAGAAAAACAAAAGTAGAGCATGATCCTTTTTATTTATCCTCACAATGGCTGGAACAATAGTCAGAAATTTGAAACCTTTCTTATTTACCATCAGATGTCTCTCAGAGATTCAAAAACATGCCTTTTAAGTAATATACCTAATCACCATTCCTATACTTTAAAATCAAAAACAAATATTCCACTTACAAGTACAAATAGAAAAGATAAATGAATGCATGGGTTATATTATTTCTGGCATCTTAAAGTCTTCAAAAAATGCTACTCTTTAATAAGAAATACTATTTCAACTGCTTTTGAAATATTGCATCTGTTACTTTTAAGTTTACTGATTTGGGTCTTACATGTCAAATGCCATGAGAACATTTTTCTTGGCAGTGAAAGGAATACTCTGTAATACTATTGCCTTGCATACTTCCTGACATGTTAGGCACTCGATAATGTTGGTTGCACTAATTGATTTTGAGACTATCAGCAATGCAAGCTGTTTTGTTGTTGTTAACTATTCCCTGATATAAAACGTTATGTTTTTGTTTTTGTTTTTTTAGGTACCACCATAGCACTCATTATTCTTGCTTTGGGATTTCTGCTATCAGCCCAGGTTTCCCCACGCATCACTTTTAAGCCAGTAGCTCCATCAGGTCAGAATGCTACTTGCACAAGATACAGGTGAGATTTTGTTATAGTTCCCTTCTTAAGCCAACTCTGAAAATGTTTTGTTTGTTTGTTTGTTTGCTTTTAACTTTTCTAAAATTTGAGAGATGAGTAGGAATTTGCTTATGGAGAAGGTAAGCAAATAGGAAAGGTGGTAGGGAGGGCCACCAGGTAAAGGAACAGTACATGCAAAGATATGAGGGTGAAAGCGAGTTGTTAGACAATTTTTGTGATGTTTTTCTGGAAATTAAAAGTAGGGATTGACAAAGAACAATAAGTGTTGGCGAGGATGTGGAAAAAGGGGAACTCTCATACGCTGTTGGTGTGACTGCAAATTGGCACAGCTACTATGGAAAACAGCCTTGAAGTTTCTCAAAAAATTAAAAATGGATATGCCTTTTGACCCAGCAATTGCACTTCAGGGTATTTATCCAAAGAAAACCAAAACAATAATTCATGAAGAACTATGCACCCCCGTGTTCACAGCAGCAGTATTTACAATAGCCAAGATATGGAAGAAACCTAAATGCCCATCAACAGACAATTGGATAAAGAAGTTTTGGTTCATATATAGAATGGAATATTACTCATTTAAAAAAACGAAATCCTACCATTCTTAATGATGTGGATGGACTTAGAGGTTATTTATTATGCTGAGTGAAATAAATCAGACAGAGAAAGATAAATACCATATGATTTCACTTACATGTGGAATCTAAGGAACAAAAAGAATAAACTAATCAAAAACAGACTCACAACTATAGAGGACAATCTACTGATGGCCAGAGGGGGAGGGGGATTGAGATTGGCGGGCAGGGAGAAAGGGGTGAAAGGTTAAAGTACAAATTAGTAATTGATAGATAGGGGATGAGGATGGGGAATATGGCATGGGAAATGCAGTTAGCATTAATGTAATGGCTAGGTGGAGAGCCAGAGGAGAGAAAGAGCAATCAAGGGGATCATTTTATAAATTATATAAATGTCTAACCAATGTACTGTATACTTGAAACTAACCATAAAATAAAATTTAAAATTAAAAAAAAAGTAGGGATTGGTACAGAGCCAAGCAGGAATACTGTAAAACTACTTTAGGTCATATTTAACTCAGTGACATCTACATTCTAACTGAAATAAGTAACTTTAATCAGTAATTAACTTTTCCATGAGGTACATGTCTGATATAGTTGATTATCATCTGGGTATTCTAACATTCTTCACTGAGTTCTGCAGGTATTTCCTGATTCATTTAAGCAGAAATGTTCCCTACTAGGTTTCTTCTTAAGGGTTCGAAAGTGGAAATTGAATGGTATAAAACAGTGAAATGTGTTCTAATGGCAAGGTGCAGATTTAGAAACTTGTTAAATCTAATGGTATACACACTATGTCATAGATAGAGAAACGGATAGATGGGCAGGTAGACTGAAGAATGCACAAATGAATTAATTAAAGATTGAATGATTGAAGAAATCAATTAATATATTCGGCAGCAGAGTTTCAAAGTTTTTAACTTCATTTTAGTGATTGAAAAGGCTAGCAATCCCTTTAAAACATATGAGAGAACACGACCTAGCTTTAAAAACAAAAAATAATATTCCTTCAGCCTCAATTAGATGGACACAAGCCTCAAATCAGTGGGTAAATGATTTTATTAATTTAGTAATATTTGGTAAATGATTTATTACTTTATATGAAATTAAAACATTACATCGATACACTGAATTCCAGCTGGAATTCACTTAGAGCTTCTTATTGAGCATGTATTTCTGGTGGCTTCGCATTACAACAATGAAGAAGATATATATGTATTATTATACCTTCCCAATCCCAAATTGTGGTATCTACCTGTCTTTAGAAATGAATAGTTATAGCTCCTCCTTTCTCTTACTAATAAGTTGTATTTATTTATTGGCCTACTGATTTTTTATAGTCTTTATCTTGTTCTAAATAAGACTTAAATGTGTCTTAATGCAGGAAGTTAATCTTAGCATAGACTATGTCTAGATGTAGTGATCTTTACTTTCTTTGGACTTCTCACCTCAACTGCTAGAAAGATAATAGAGCCACTGCCAAAATTCAGCGTGCTCTACTTTTGTTTTTCTTGATGTATATTTTAAGTAAACTATCTTTAACACAGTTATCTCTGAAAATTATTTTAAAATGTTGTCGTTTGATCAACATAGCATATTCTCTACACCTGATTTAGATGTAGTGACTTAGATTCAGAGTAAAGAGTAAGACTGATATACTATCAGGTCAACTAAAGGCAGAAAGTCATTTATTTTAAGTAAACTATCTTTAACACAGTTATCTCTGAAAATTATTTTAAAATGTTGTCGTTTGATCAACATAGCATATTCTCTACACCTGGTGTCTGATTTAGATGTAGTGACTTAGATTCAGAGTAAGACTGATATACTATCAGGTCAACTAAAGGCAGAAAGTCAGCCAGAGAGTAATGAAAAAAAAGTTTTATGAACTTCTGATAGAGGAAAGGAATAAGTTTTTAATGATTTACATAATGAAATAGATTTCCTGACATCCACTTTTAAAGTTTAAATTAAAATATTTGTTGTTGTAGTATAGCTCATTTCACACAGCAATTTATGATCATCAATCTATTAATCCTTCTAAGTTATTAATGTTTATCTAATATGTCAAAATAAAATTGTAATGGAGTGAGTAGTAGTACAGTCTTATTTTATTCTTATCAAAAAAATGGGAATCTGTTTTTGAAAACAGAACCAAATTTTACATGTCCTTTGGAAGTCAATGAGTATGAAAAACATTTATTGTGTGCCTTTTTTTCAGGCACATATTAGTCTTTGTGAGAATTTGACAGTATTTATAATCTCAGTGATTTTATAAAATATGCCTGCAGTCCCCTTACTGATTTTGTTAAAACTTATCCATACAATTTTCCCCTTTCTGGAAGATAAACATAAACAAGTCATCTTTGTAGTACCTTAACATGAATAATGTTCACGCTGTAAATGTAGGTGGTATGATTTCCCCATGGAATGATCCATGTAGGAAAATTGAGCAAATAAAACATTTAAAGCGGGGAGTTGGTTTAATATCTAAAGAATGTTGTAAACTATTAGTAGGAGTGTACATTTTTCTTTTGGAAAGTAATAATGTTCTACCTAATAAAGGTTGAATTCCTATGCTCATTGACTCAGCCTTTCCACTCAGAGAAAACTATAGATTATAGTGATAAATTATGTAATACATTCTGACTAGAGTAGAGTAGAAGATTTAAGAAAGTGAATGATTCAGAAACAATGGTTCTTTATTTTAATTCAATAAATACAGATAGTGTAGCAGGCACAATTGTAGGTTAGGACCAAATACATTATAGGGTGGAGCTCACTAAAGACTTTGACAAACCCAAGAGATTGACTACCCTAAATAATTTCCAATGAGAACTTTCCCTTTTTAGAATATTTTCATTTTTAATTGATATTTTATTCTAAGACATAGTTAGATTTTTGTGAACTGAATGTATTAACATCTTTTAGATCTGCTTTGTAGCAGATAAAACTGTACAGAGATGAACATGGATACAAGTTGCTGTAGAAAATGTGCAGTCACCTGAATAAAAGCTGTCGCAGAGTACCAACTGTAGCTAGGAGAAATAACCCTAGTGTGGGTATCATCTGAATCATATATCTGAATGAGAATACACAAATATACTTCTATTATGGCCTTCAACTCTACGCTCTCAAATACTGTTTTCTTATTCAGTTAAACTTTGGATAGTACTTCCCAAACTTTGAGGATTCAAGCCTTTGCTAGGTAACACTTTCCTCAAGTGTGACCTCAGTATATGCAAATCACTATCATAAAACCCTTTAAAGTAGACAGATATTTCCTAGAGTATACAATTATAGAATTGCAAGGTACCCTTACCTTATGGTTTTCCTCTCATCTCATTCATTCATTCATTCATTCATTCATTTATGCATGCACGCAGCTAAAAATGTTTATGGAGCACCTACTCATAGGATTATAGTAAGGATGCATTATTGTATGAAAGCACCTAAAACACTGTTTGGCACATAATAAGCACTCAATAAACATTATAGTCATTGTTATTAATAAAACCTATGGTAGGAGATGAGATTGGGATGATGGGTAATCTTTCAGGGAAGACTATCCTGAGGATGGGATGTTTGAAGTGAGCTCTGAAAGGGGGAGGGGAACGTGCCAGGCAGAAGAAACAGCAGGTGCAAAGAGAAACAAGGCAGTTAGGTACTTAGCAAGAGCAAGGAACTGAAAGAAGGCTAATGCCGATTGAGAATATGAGAAGGCTGGTAAGGTAGGCTAAAACAGATCCTGTAGAACCTTAGAGATCATGTGAAAGGTTCTGATCTTCAGTATAGGAACATGACCCCGTTGTGGGGTTTTAAGCAGGGGAGAGACTTGACCAGACTTCCTATTCCAAACTTCCTCTCTGGGGGTAGGGGTACACAGAGGGCGCAGGTTGATGTAGGGAGAGCGATTATTAGAGTTGTCTGAGAGATCGTTGCCTGCCCTAAGGTGGTGATGTTAAAGACAAACAGGTAAACAAATTCAAGATATTTTAGGAATGAAAAATCAACAGGAATTAAAAATAATTGATTAACTATGAGCGACCACATAGAATAGATCATGGAAATGAGATGGGGTGACTGGACGAGGCAGTTACAAAAGAGACTGCACCCCTAATTCGTTGTTCTTTTCCTTTTAATAGTTTTCAACTGTGAGTCTTACATAGACTCATCAGAGGAGGTATTTAAAGCTGTCCATCCCTCATTCCAACAGATATGGCGCACCAGGACAGTGGAGAATAGGTTAGAAACATTCTCTTAGGTGATTCCACTACAATAGGTCCACGAATAATGTCATTTTGTTATAACATTGATGAGTTGCCTTAACAATTCTTGTGTATATCAGTTAGCCTACAGTAAAACTGGTTTCATTATGTGCCATTTTGCTTAAAGTCACAGAACCTATTGACAATATTAAGTCAGGAC